ATGATATGTCGAGCGTATGTTGAGAACAAACAGTGTGATCCGATCATCAGAGCACTGTCATCTAGTGACATAAAATTTCCTCACAAGCTTGAAATCAAGGCTGCAACGTTATGCTACGAAGTTGCACAACGATCGATTTGAAGTTATACGAAATGCATGAAACGCCTATGACCGGTCCTTTTGGCCGTGAAAATACCTACCAGTCTCGAGGTACCCAATGTAGGTAGTCTTACATGTACAAATGGGTGGCAAGATACGTGAATATATGCACGGTCTGTCAGCGCATGAAGGGTGCAAGGCACACTGCAGAGTCTTCCTGTTCCTATTGACTGTTGGAATGCATTCAGCCTTGACTTTATTTTTGGATTCCTGAAAATGCTGACGGATGCAATGGAGTGCTAGTGTTTGTTGAAAGTGAATCGCATCGCTCTGTGTAGCTATTCAATCGATGCAAAAGGTTCAGCTTATTTGTTCATTGATCCCGTTTTTTGAATCATGGGTTGCCAGACTTCATCATCTTAGGTTGTGATACACGATTCACGAGTGTTTTTTGGAAAGAATTCTTGGTGTCCGCTGGGGTATGTAAGCCAGAGACCGACGGAGAAACAAAACGTGTCGACCGAGTTGTCGGTGGTGTGTTTGGAGATGCTGTACAAAAATTCCTGCGAAATGGAATTCGATATTTCCACTGGTTGACTTTGCTATGAACAACATAGCTCATTCCTCCACTAAATTGACGCCATTTTTAGAAATGGCTTGCGACACCCGCAAATACCGGTCTGTGCGATGACTGGTGTTTCTAATGTAAGTGGGGGAGAAGCTCGGCAGATTTTTGCCTCCCGAATCAAACGAAAAATGATGCGCATGCTAAGCGCAAGATTATGAACGCCCTAGATTCGTTCATCATGAGTAGTGGAATGTTATCACAAGGATGCGAGACGCTATGGCGGATGCGCAAGATATGCAAAACGAACACGCATGTAAATGAGGTTGTCAAAGCAAAATGTCATTCAATTATGTGTTCCTTAGTACTAAAAACCTATCAGACGACGCGGTCCCCAGCATGCAAAGCTCAAAGCTATTACCTCTCTTCACCGGACTATTCTGAGAAGTATCATGCCGTGAGAATGCGTACACTATTCACCTGACAAGCTGGCTAAGGATCCATCTGCTGTTCTACATAAGGGTTCCTCAGGCCCAACCATCAGTTCAGCCTGGATGTAACGCAGTCTTATTCTAAGGTGGCTTTTGAGCCACGGCTTCGGCACGAGGGTTGAAGTTTGAACTTCACCTCAGTATCGCCCATATAGAAACGAAAATTACCGGGAACGCCCAAAAAAGAGCGAGATCGATTGGCAGGAGTCCCTGAATTATCAACGAAAGCATCCTCAACAGGTGGAATAGCTTGCAGATTGTTCTCCAGTCGTTGGATCCGATTTTCGATTGCATCCCCAGGCGAGTTCTCTTGACGCCATGCGAAATCGCGAACAATTTGTCGATTATTTCTCACGCATTGTCGCATCGAAGACATCGATTCTTTCACCTCGATCAGCCGCTGGTCTTCAGCGAGAGAAGCAGCTTTACCTTAACCAAACGCAGTTACAAAGCTGGAGAAGGCGGTAAACTAGCGCCAGGTCCCCCTCTCCTAGATCGACGATGGGATCGCCACTACCACGTCGAGGACAAGATGGCAAAAAAAACGTTCGCGGTCGGAATGAGCTCTTTGTGAAATTACTGGAGGATCCAGCGAGCGAAAATACGTGGGAGCCTCATACTCATATTCGTCGCGACTGTCCAAGTATCGTTCGCGTGTTCGATGCGCGTCCGAAGACGGACTCCGCCCACGGAAGCTGTCCCTTCCTCTTCTTCCCCGATTCTTCTCGTCCTGAAGTCGACTAATGACCGAACGCGTTTCACGAGCATCTTCAAATATATCTAGTCAAATTCGAAAATCAAAAGCGCATATTGCGTATATTCAACAAGTCAGAAACGGTTCTTGCGCATTGCAAACGGTGGATGTCCATTGATTTGGTCGCATGGACGCATGCTCAAAATCGAGTGTCGAATTTCTGGATGGACTCTGGACTGACTTGCTGGATTCATATGGAAAGTTGCACCCATTTGACTTTAAAGTTTGTCGAAAGCTGGAGTGATTCCACCACGTCTTTCAAAAACGTCGCCGAGACATAAGTTACCGATAGCACAAATGCGCTGATGATGTGGTATTGGAACAAAATTCCAGTTCCATGGTGACGAGGATCACATGTGGAGCAAGCGTGAGTATTGTCCATCTTGCGAGGGTTTATGATGAAGAGCGAAAGAAGAATTTGAGCAAAAGTCGGAACAAAAGTCTGAAGAGAGTCTTAAGAAGAGCAGGAAGAAAAGCTGAAGAAAGTTCGAAGTCTTTTAAAATTTAAAAAACTTGGGTAAACCTATTTTGGATGAGGGGCGATGTGATGGGTCAGGTCCCATTACATGTGTTGTGTATACCACATAAATAATGTGAATCAGATATACACCCCGTATACTTGTATATCACCTTTCAGTTCTGTTGGTATAAGAGGTCAGAAGCTTGTTGGCTTTAAAGTTAAATGTCGCTTCACCTTTTCTCCTCTTTATGTAAGTCAACGACCCGCTGGAAGCGAGTAACACGGATTGGGACGTGTCAGTTTACCTTAACCTTCCATAGAAAATTTCTGTATACATACGGGCGATTCTCATTACATGCGGCCAATCTCATAAAGGCCTTATTCGAAAAGAAGGAGAGAAGTAATGAGTAAAATTATTTCATTAAGAATTTCAGCTCAATTCTCACGTGTGTGCCCGTTCCCCCAAGAAAGACATCTTCACGAAGCTGACGACGAGGCCAGCTATATCAAAGTAGACCTTGATCGGCCCAATAAACAAAAGCCGCTCAGCATACCTCAATGAAACCCTCAGACCCAGACGTGTGCGTGAGAATACAGCTCAGTCTGATTTCTCTGCCTCAATTCCTTCAAGTACTGCTTATGGCTGGATCAGCACGTGCGACTTCAGTGGTGTCCTTGACTCATGAATTTCTATAGCTTAATTTGAGCATTGAAAAATGCTCGTCAAGTTGCCCATTTGGTGGCCATTCGTATCAAGTTTACATAAGCGAATAACAGACTGAGGCGCTCCTTAGTGTACAAAGCATAGACGTTCCGTTCATGCTGACATCTAATATGCTTATACAAAAGGAGTTGCTGGCACAGCTAATACAATCAAATTTCGAACTTGCAATAAGCCGAAATTCCAATTTCCAGTGAAAAAGACTTTGCATGAAAGAGAGCGCTGTTCACAACAGTTCCTCCAAAACAACATACACTTGCGCAACGGGATGCGATTCCTGACGTGGAGGGAGAATGACTATCGCGACTTCGAGAGAAGAAGAACGACATAACACCTTAAAGGCAATTGTGCAGCTGAATTAAAATGACTTTATGGCTCCTTGGACATCTTAAGAATAAGGATAATCTGAGTTCGTCTTTTGAGCGAGCAAAATGTAATACTTATGCATGTAAAATAGACCTTTAACGCTTATTGAGTGGCATTATCTCAACACTCCTTATTGTAATGGGATTACTCGTACCCTTGTAGGAAAGGGCTGGTCACACAAGATGGTGTGACTGTACATAGGTGTGGATTACAGAAGTTGGTGTTGTCGCACAATGGTGTGACCACACCGTAACAAGAAGCATTGCATGTAGTAACGTAAATTAATTAGATTTTACTATATTAATGTGGTATTACTATATTAGTCAGGAAAACCTAAGGTTTTGAATATTGGCGGCTGTGTTACACGTACCCTGGTAAAAGGGGTGTGTGTCACACCAGATGTGCATGGCGTGACCACACCCAAACAAGAATACGGTATGACCAGTAGTTATACATGTATTTAGATTTTACTATACAGATTTAGGAAAATCTATGCATTTATAATTAGGCAGCTTTGCCGCAGATAAAATAAATAAATAAAAATCAGTTTTTGAATTTAAG